AGATTCTGTTAGCAGCAGTAATCAAACAATCGACAAATTCTGGAAAGGGTTTATCTGGGCCTTGCTTAATGCTAGAGAGAGAGTAGCTCATATTATCTTTTGCAGGCAGCTTTTTCCATGCTCAAGTAGCTGCTGTTTGAATTTGAGCAAAATGCTGGGTTAAACTCCTTTTGAGCTTCTCTGCATGCATAGGCATCTTCCACTATTAACATATTAAGGTCCCACCCATTGCCGGCTTGTGTATTGTGCCTGGCGGTCCCTTTGCAATTTTTTGTGTATTCTGATTTTTACAAAAGATTATCCCCACCCAATAAAGTCACTCGGGCCAATCTTTGTCAATCTGTAGGTGTAAGCCAGCCAACAGCCAGAGAATTTAAAACAGCAAGAGTAAAAGCAGCTGTAAGGCCACATTGGGCAACCGCTATCTTTAATTCTTTTAAAGCTGCCACTATGAATGGCATATGGGTCCTAATGACTTGTGGAGCTAGCGGCGCGGCGCCCGCACCATCTTGCAGCTGTGCAGCACCATCTTGAGGAGATACATTTGTTTCCATCACCGGAAACGCCATTTTGGGGAGGGGCCCACCCTGTTGTGGCAGAAGTGAGGCAAGCGCCATTTTAGATAGACAGTTGTGGCGGGCCTCGGGTGGTAGGGGCTCAGATGGTGGCGGGCCGCCATCTTGGGGCTTTTTTAACATATTTGACTCACTGGAGGGGCAAGAAGGTTTAGATTTCTCTCCTGAAGGGAGCAATATTGACGAAGTGGAAGCGCGTAAAGCTATTTCACCTTGGGTGATTGTTTTATCAATTTGAGGGTCTCGGCAGCACTGTGTAAGTAGCTCCGAGATTAGGTTCCAGTATGCAAAGGCTGTAACTGGGACCTTTTCAGGGCCAAAGACCCTATAATAATCTTTTAGAGCATCTCCTACTCTTTTCCACCTCTTGGTATCTATAGAGCCCTCTAGGGGGAACCAAGGGCAAACTTTATGGATAAACTGAAAATACTGCCAACAATTCTTTTGTTCTAACCCTTACCCCTCTTGTCATTAATGCCTTGCTAAGGCCTCCCACGAATAATTCATGTTCGCTCAATGCTTGACCCATGTCGGGAAAAGGGGATGTGGTTACTGTTCACTCACCGTGACTCAGGCGGCATGTCGGGCGGTCATATGCACAGGCCTCGGTCCTTGATTCAATTTGCTCTCACTTTGAGCCAGTGTTCTTGAATGGCTCCCTCATTGACTGCCCCGTGCCAGGTAGCCCCCACGCTGGGCGCCACTTGATCCAGCCCGCAGATCAATCCGTGGGGTATATACCTGGAGGGGGAACAGGGATGAATAAAACAGGGCGGGAGATAAAGAGAGATTGAGACAAGTTGAATCCAATCAAGTCTCGTTTATTCAGGAAGTGGTTGCTTCCTTTATAGGCCAAGGGCGGGCTGGTGGGACAAGAAGAGGCTATGGGGTGGTTTCTGATGGGTCATCATCACCTCCGGGTAAGTGATATAAGCAGGAGAGGATTATGGTTAATGTAGGCAGGCACATTATGTGCCTATAGGAGTGAGAGGTGGGGAGGCAGCAATGGGGCTGTCACGCGGCTCCCTACACAAAGTGAGCTCAAGGCCACCCTGAGCTGCATAGTGAGACCCTGTCTCAAAAAGCCAAAAAAAAAGGAGTAGAGGATCTGTAATCTCAGCTAGACAAGAAGTTAAGGTGAGATTATCATAAAGTTCAGGGTCACCCTGGAGAGGGTAGAAGGGGGGTGTGGGTGTGGGTAACAAGTCTACATCTGAAAAAAAATTTTTTAAGTGAGTTGAGAAATGATTCCTCTTTTTTATTATTTGGAATGACTTGTGAATAGTTGTCATTGACTGTATGGTAGAATTCATGGGTGAAGCCTGGATTCTAGGTAGAGCTATTCTCTAGCATGCATGCTGCCCCGCCCCCCAACTCAGACGTGGTCTTTTCTTTGTGGGAATTATTTGATTACTAATTCAATATCTTCACCTAAGACAGTCTTGTTCAGATTGTTTGTTTTGTTGAGTCACTTTTGATAGCTTATATCTTTGCAAAAATTGCCAATTTTATCTAAGTTGTCTAATTTGTTGGTATTAACTGAGAGAAAATTTTTATAATCCTTTAACTTTGTAAGTTCAATAATAATATCACCTCTTTCATTATGATTCTAGTAAAGTGAATTTCTCAAACATTTGATTACACTTCACAGGCCATCTTTGTGCCTGCTTTTTTTCCTGGTATATGTTGTGATTTAGATAATAAAATGGTACCTTCTTCTACAAATTTAATTCATTCCACAATTCTGGAAAAGATGGTGACATTCATTTTCAGGAAAGATGGCCGCACCATCCAATACAGTTGTTTTTTTTGTTTGTTTTTGTTTTTTTTTTTTTTAATTTACCAAACACTTGTTTGCAAACTAAATTGTTCACAAACAAAAGAGTTTATGAACTGAGGTACCACTGTATGTTGTAATAACTCTGGGTGCTTTCATACATTTCTGGGCTGGTTGTTTTTTTGTCTATTTGATGAGTATTAGCTTGATTATCTTAGCATAGTCTGTTCTGCCATCACTGCTATTAGGCTTGAATCTTAAATGTGCCCCTAAGGTTCATGACTTGAAGGCTTGGTCCCTAACCAGTCATACTCCTGGGTAATAGAACCTTTAAAAAGAAGGAACTAAAAAAAAAAAAAAAAAAAAAAAAAGAGGGACCTATATGAGGAAGTGAGGTCACCTGGGATTACCCCTGAAGGGGAGACTCAGGCCCCAGCCCCTTCTCTGTCTCCTTCTTGGCTACTATGAGGTGAACACCGTCATTCCACCATATTCCTCCTGCTGTGATATTCTGCCTTACTGCAAACCTAAAAAAAAAGAGCAAACTAACCATGGACTGAAACTTCGAGCCAAAATAAACCTTTCTTCCTTTAACCTGATTTTCTCAGGTATATTGTTACAGCGACAGAAACCCGTATGAGCACAACCTCTACTTCTGGATAGTTTGCACCTCTGATGTTGCTACTTAGGGAGGTAGAGTCGTGCTTGGTAAGGCTATTTTAGTAGTTACCTTTCTATTTCTAACACAAAATACCCAACCTCTGCAACCTAATGAGGAGAGATTTATTTTGGTATGTATTTCAGAAGTTTTAGTCTTGGTTAGCTTGCAGTTGCTGGAAGCTTCATGAAAGGAAAACTGCTCAACTCATCACAAGCCAGAAAGCACAGCACAGAGGAAGAGCCAGAGAAGGCGTCAAGCAGCAGATATAGTCCCCCAAAGTCGTGCCCCGTAAGCCACTACCTCCACATAGGGCCCATCTCCTGAACACCTGTTGAACCCCAGACTCAATGATTAATCCATCGCTGAAGTGACTGCCTTCACAACAGAGAGGAGGCTCTTAGTCCATTAATGTTGACAATCAGGATTAACCAGCTCATCTGCCTTCCTTTCTAATTTCACTGGTTGCTGGCTCTGCTCTATGTCAATACTGCCCAAGGGGCATACATTGCTCTACAAATTAATTCAGTCAAATTCTTGCTCATATGTAGTAGTTGTATCTGAGATCAAGTGCTTGGTGTTTGTTTGGATTCCAAGAATCCTCCTTCCAGCTGTCTATTATTCCCCAGTTCTCTCCTGTGAACTAGCCAGCCTATATTTCTTTTTTTTTTTTTTTTTTTTTTTTTTTGGCTGTACAGGGGATCGAACTCATGACCTCGCACTTGCCAGGCAGGCACTTATGCCACTGAGCTAAATCCCCAACAGCCAGCCTATATTTTAACACACTTTTGAGTCATCTACATTCCTCTTGCCACACCCACCACTGAACCAGGCTTCAGTGCACCCTTCTGCTTCACCTTCTACAAGTTCTGTGGGAAATGAGGGCAGTTACTTGGGAAGAAATTCAGGCTTCCCATTTTATGGCCTACTTTTCCCTCAGACAGAGTCTCCAGGCTAAGATTCTGGAGCTGCAATTAAGGCAGGACAGAGGCAACTTCTTTCTGTGGCCCTGGAGCTGAGTTCTCGGTGGACCTGTGAGGAAAGGCTAGGGTTCTCTCGGCTGGCCTCTCCTGGCATAGACTTACAACCTCATGAGCCAGAGCCAGGGTGACAAGGGCCCCAGCACGTCCAGCACACTGCCCAAGGCAGAGCTCCTCTTCCACAAGTGGACTGAGTGGACCGAGGGGTCCACCTCTCTCCACTGCATTTGCCCAGGATATAACTGAGTAACTCTGATGTCCCTCTCCTCCTGGGAAGCTGAGGGGTGCTGAAGTCCTGTGCTCTTGACTGCAGAAGCTGGGCATGAGTCTCTCCTAAAAGTAGGGAGGAAGTGAGTTTGGGTTCAAATGCCACAGACTTTTATCTTTCCTATAAAATTTGTATTGCTTTACATTGTCATTCCCAAATGAAAAAAAAAATTTGTAATGCTTTTCTTTAAAAATGCTTCTTTATTTGTTCTTTTGTCTCTTGGACTGGTTTCCACTTTATTATTTTTAGTTTAATCAGGAAACAGGTCAGGGAGTTTCATGCTACTATACCAAAAGCTGATTTTAGCAATTTTTTTTGTTTTGTTTTTGTTGATTTTGATTTTTTGTTTTGTTTTGTTTGTTTTTTAAGACAGAGTCTCACTATGTAGTTTAGGCTGGACTTGAACTCACTATGTAGCCTAGGCTGGCCTCAGACTCAGTGATCCTCCTGCATAAGGCTCTTAAACTTTGGGATTATAGGTGTGAGCCACCATGCCCAGCTCAACAATTAATTTTAAATTGAAATTTTATCAGAAAAATAGCTGTAGAGAGGTGACAAGATTTAAAAGATTATCTCCTTTCACTTATTCAGTAATTTAGTCTTAAAATATGATTGTAATTAGTAGTTTTTGCCATTAGTTATGAGACATAAAACAGCTTTAGAACTTATCTGCAACACTGGTAACATATTTCACCAACATGGTCTTTAATAATTGTTTATTATCCATATTTTTCTCCACTAGGAAGTGTCAAAACTCCGATCTCAGCTTGCTAAAAAGAAACAAAATGAGACAAAACTTCAGGAGGAGCTGAATAAAGTTCTGGGTGTCAAACGCTTTGACCCTTCGAAGGCTTTTCAACATGAATGTAAAGAAAATGTTGACCTCCAGACCCCACTGAGAGAAGGTAAAAAGGCAATCCATGTGTAGAACTGTCATCTTCCTTTGGATTTGCTTTCACAAAGGCGGCTTGCCTGCTGATGATCTGTAAAAATTTGTCAAAACCTTCTGATATGAAAGAAATTCTTCCTGAAATTAATGCTGAAATTGACCTAACAGTGCTGTTTCCAGCTTTCATATTCTGCTATAGATCCAAATTCCTCCTGTCCGTCAAGCCTCCTTCAGATTACATCCTCGTTTTACCTTGTGTGACTCTTTTGCTCCTCCCTTCACCCTGTACCATAAATTATTCCCTATATAAACTTTTATATTATAAACCTAAATGTCTCTTAGATTCTGTTGTGATTTAAGAACTGGTGGTCAACTTAACGCCAGCTGGATTACATCAGCATGGCATTAAGTGAAGATGCTCCACTTGAGGAAAACTGCCAGGATGAATAAGTGGAGAAGAAGGGAGGTGCTGAGGGTTGAGGCGTTAAGGAGGCATTGTGGGTTCTCCTACGAGTTGCTGTCTGAGCTGTTGGTTCTCCTGGAGAAGCTTTGGTCCTCACATTGAGCATTACTTCCTGGCTCTGGAGGGGAAAATATGTGCTGCCTGGTCTCCAGGATGAACTCGTCACACTGCTTCCTGGCACGTACCTGTGCTTGTCAGAGGAGCTCGGGGCCTCTGTGTCGCTGAAGACAGCTGTGATGCCTTTCAAGATAGCCCTGCTATTTGTTGTGAGTGTGACTTCTCGGCTCCAGCACAGAACCCTCATCCCACTGGCACAGCTCCTTCATCCTGCTGGCATAGATTTTCTGGCTTCCACTGCTGACCCTTGGGTCTTCCTGGCACAGATCCGTAAAAGAGACTGGTGTGAGTCCTTCTTGTGGGCTCTGGACCTCCAGTTGGACTCGTGGGTGGCCTTGTCCTGAGCTCTGGGTTTTTATCTAGACTCATGTGGGACATTGCTGTGGGGTTTGGACTCTTGACTAAATAATCTATGTCTTTGGTGTTGCAGATAGATTTCCTGCGTTTTCCTGTGTTAACTTTTGGACCATTATAAAAATATTATAAACTCCATGTCTAATCTTAATTGTTCTCTGTGTACAACCCCTGACTACAACAGATTCTTAATTTGAAAAATTTTCTTTTTTTTTTTTTAACTAAAGACTGAGTGCTCCAATGAAGAATTTTCTTATTTGAAATATTTTCTTATTTGAAGTTTTAGAGAAGTAAATTTTCTTTTTTGACTGAATTTCTGTATCTCACAGTAAATCCAAATTGACTAAACTAGTAAATAAAGGGAAAATATACAATAATGTTGCAGAATGTAAGCACTGCCTCATCTGCACTGCCCTGAAGGCGGTGATGGAGACCCGGGCCTTCACAGCTCTCCCTCCTTCATTGAGCTTTCGTGGACATCACAGTACACACGGAGGAGATGACAACTTCAGGGAGCCACCTAAATGTACCCAGATGACACGAAAGAGGGTGCTGCCTCTAACAGTCAAGAAAGCAGCCAAGAAGAGGACAGAAGAAGGGTAAAGGAGGTGTTACAGGGAAGCAAGAACCTCATAAAGACTCGGGCCTTGGTGGTGACTTAGCAAAACAGTTGAAAATGCAAGCACTGGAAGAGAAAGAAAGAGATAATGATGGTGATGGTGCTGGACAGAAGAAACAGAGAGAGTCTTAAGTTCAAACTGAGCCTCCTGGGGTTCTGCTGTGTAACCTGTATCCTAATGGTGTATTCCCCAAAGAACAGGAATGTGAGCATCCACCCTCACAAGACCTTCGAACAGCTTCTCAGAGAACTACAGGTGAAGGAAATAAAGCATTAGATCAGGCTAGTGAAGAGATCTAAAATCTAAAATCTAAAATGATTTTCGAGAATCTGAGAAGGCACGTCAACAAGTTAGAAAATGCATCCTGAGCTAGATCAAGCCTGGGATGATGATGATGATGATGACAACGATGACAGAAATCCGTGAGAAGCTGAAAGACTTCCTGCCGAAGCATAGGCCTGGCCGTTCCCACTGGGTATTCCCTCGGAACTGTGCTGCCCACTGTCCTCCCAGTGCAGCTTACACAGCAGTGTTACGGTGCAATGACATCTTTAAGATGCTTTCACACGTAGAAGTGGTAGCATTATTGCCTGTTCTTTTACTGTCACTTTTAATCCCAAATATGATACGTTATTGAAAGCCATGAAAAATGCCACTTATATTGGAATAACTCATTGGCATTATTTCACTATGTGATGTTGGTGAGGCCATCCAGGAAGTTGTGAAATCCTAAGTAGAAATAAATGAGAAGACTTATCAGGTGAAGCCAATCCATACTCTGAATGAACACATGGGGAAGAATATGCAAATCATGAAGGGTGGAGAGGCAGTGAGAATGGGGGAAGGAGAAACATATGTCACTGAAACGTTTGGTAGTACAGAACGTGTTCATGATGCCCAGGAGAAGGCATTGTTCAGGATCACATGCAGTGTTCACGTTACTGAAAAATTCCGATGGTGACATGTGCCAGTTAGTGTTCTAGGAATGAAACACTTCTTAAGTATCATCAGTGGAAACTTTGGCGCTCCTGCCTTCTGCCGCAATGGTCAGGTTGCCTGGGAAAAAGTAAATAATTGATGGTGCTGTGGAATCTGTGACGTAGGTGTTGTAGATCGATGTCCACCACACAGTGACATTAAAGGATCCTACACAGCTCAGTTCGAACATACCATTCTGCTGTGTCCAATCTGTAAAGAAGTTGTCAGCAAAGCAGAGGGCTGTTAAACTTAGTCCAAGCCACCTCAACGTCTTTGTTTTCTAAGCTCCATTAGAAGGCATTGTACCAGAAGTAACTTACAGGGGGCTGGGGATTTAGCTCAGCGGCATAAGCACCTGCCTTGTAAGCAGGCGGTAGTGAGTTCAATCCCCGGTTCCGATAAAAATGAAAAAGACAAAATAAATAAAATTTTTAAAAAAGAATTAACTTACAACATGCTGTCTGTTGTAACAGTAGACCTATATGATATTTTGGCTCATGTTTAAAAGAAGTTGGTTTTGATCAAAGGCATAACATTTATTTAATCAAGGAAAACTTTTAGGACTTTCAAATGCTAACTTTCTCCTCATGTAGGAAATGCTAAAAAGTTCAAACAATGAATGACTGATGTTTTGTTTGGAACACCTTATTGTATTTATATTGCCATATTCTTATGAATGCTTGGAATGGTGAGTTATATCTACTTCTGCACGTGTGCCCTCTGGTATTCCCTTTTAACTTCTTGAAATCCACTTTCTAAAAAATAAAGACATTTTCAAATCTAAAAGAGCCAATATTGCTGATGTTTATAAGGATACTTTATAACATATTTAACTACCTATCCTTAGGTATATCAAATAAAGTTCAACTTTTTTTACCAAAATATCTTTTGATATTTTATTTTCAGTTGTTAAGAATCTGCTTAGTAAAAAAAAAAAATTATAATAACCTGCTTAGTACCTTTTTCCTCTCCTGAACATTTTAACTGATTTTCACATTGCCAGTACATACCATCATATCGACATTTCTATAAAAGTTACCATGAGATGATCCCAGTTTTATGGAGGACTTCTCTACTCTGAAAAAGATTAAAAAGGATACAGTACCTTTTCTTGTTCTTACCTCTATTTTGATTTAAAATCATGTTGTTTCTGTGCTACCCATCATCCCTCTAATTGTCCAGTTCAAATAAGAAATAAGGACAGGCTTAACTCCATAATAACCTCATTATCTTTTATCAAAGTCATTGAGTTTTTTAAATAATCTTTACATTTCTAGGCTGTATTCTAGTTCTAAATTAAAATATGTAGTTTGGCCTATAAACCTGCATTTTTAGTAACCTGTCTTATTCTTAGATACACTAAAAATCTGAGAAAGTCTTCATGTAACTTTATAGAATTTGTTATCTGCTTGTTTACTACAGTTAATATAGTAAACAATTATAGTAAGTCATTTATGCAATTTTTAAATTATTCTATGAACTTACATTAAAGCTTTTATTTAAAAAGCATTTATTGTCTCTAACCTCTTCACACTCATTTTTTTTTGCACAATCACACACAGTCTAGTTTAGACAATAGTAATTCTCTCTCTAGTGTACTGTATCTGATTTGCACAGCTGATATATAGCGTGACTCAGATCTAAGATGGCCCCTCAAAGTCTCCTGTGTTTAGCAGGAGGGGTTTTGGAAGGTGATTGGATCATGGGGTGTTACACTTACTGGTAGGTTAATCCACTGTGAGTTTGTAGCTGATGTGTTGTTAGGCCGTGAGGCCTGGTTGGAGGATGTGTGTCATGGCAGGTGTAACCTAGAAACTTGTATTGCTGGCTCCTACTCTCTCTGCTTCTGTCCCCTGTGATGTGAGCAGCTTTTCGCTACTGCATCCTTCCACCTTGCTGATTCTGCCTTGGAGATGACAGCCATGACCTGAATGAACTCTTGGAAACTGTGAGCCAAATACATTTCTCCTCCTTTAGGTCACACATGTCAGGTATCTTGTCCCAGTGTCACAGTATGCAGCCATGGCTGCATAGAGGATGAAGATTACTCAGAGACTCAGGGGCTGCTTCTTTTTTTTTTTTTTTTTTTTTTTAATTTTATTTAAGAGGAAAAAGAGAAAAACACAAAACAAAACAAAGCGGTGAAAGGGTACACGTAATACAGAACTACAAGAAAAAAAAAAAAACATAACAGTAAGAAATCACCTGTTAATAGATTACATATTATCATCTTGAAAATAGTTGCTCAAATCATAGTATCAAAGAATACAAAGTGGACATTCAAACAGAGAGACTGCAAACAGCTGTGTTCAATGATCCAAAAACATTAATATAATCAGCTATTTAACACCCCTAAACACACTTGCTATTATATCCGTTAGAGATCTTTTTTTCCCCTCTCTTTTTTACAACAAAATTTACACATTTTGGATTTTGTTACTCCTTAGTTCTTATTACTTTTTTGGGGGGGAGAGAGTATAGTCAAATATGGCAAAACAAAGCTGTCAGTCAAAAACCAAGGATAGACATAGCACATGATGTAGAACAGAGTAAATAAGTCCTGTAATGTTTACAATGCCTAAGTTTTATTGGTCTTGTTCTCTACTGTTTTGTCCAACTTTATAATATCTAATGAGATAGACAATTCTTTTTAAGGAAACAGGGACTGCTTCTTGAGCATAAGAAAACCTCAGAGAGTCTAGGGCCATACCACCCTGAATGCGCCCGATCTCATCTGATCTTGGAAGCTAGGCAGGGTCGGGCCTGGTTAGTACTTGGATGGGAGAAAACCTCAGAGAAATCGCAAGCAGCTGAGCCCACTGTAGTTATTTATTCATATCTCAAGGCCGTGAGAACAGAGATTCAGAAGAAAAGCATTCTGAAGCATACTGTATAGGTTTTGTAGGGGCCAGGGCCAGAATGGGACGGTTCGTTACATGAAACAAATCAACCTAATTTAGGCAATCTTATCAGAGCAGAGGGAACACAGTGGCCAAAGCAAACAGCTCTGACAGTAACTTGCTCTTAATTCCCCAGCTGACCTGCAGATTTTGCTCTGAACTCTAAGCATGCATTGCAGGAACATGGGAACCATCATTCCCCTTCCTCAGTGCACTCAGGTCCCACACTTCTTTAACCAGCATCTCCCCACATCCCAGTGATAACAAAGTGACTAATGCAATATGTAGTTAGACTGTTGCAGTCAAAATAGCTTTCTGAAATAAATAATTTCATTAAATCTTAATACTTGCTTGAGTTTTACAGTGAATATTTGAATTAACTTCAGAAGAAATGTAGAAACTAGTGATATTTTCCAGCAAAATTAAATGGATCAAAACTGCTTTTAGCCAAGCAGAAGTAACTGCAGAGTAGATAGGCAAGGTACACTGCTCAATCTCTGCCAGCTGAGGGGATTTCCTTTCACCACTGTCTTGCAGGGATACCCCCGAAGGATACCATAGTACTACAGCTGCGCACTTCAGGGTGGTGGCTGTATACCATGTAGAAGCTTCTACTCTAAGCTCATGCTTCTAGCAACCAATGATAGGAAGCTCCATGTAAGACAAGAGGGTCAGACCGGCAGAGAGGGGCCAGATAGCTAGAATTGGAACTATGAGCATTTAGGCTACTGCGTGTAGCTCACTCATGTCTTCATGGCCTGCTTGGGCTCAGTCACATACATGCCACTTCCGTTTAATGATGGAGTGCTATTGTGCACATCCAGCTTTGTAGCTTGGTCCATCAGACAGCACCCAGCTCATGAGTGGCAGCTCAGGCCACATGATAACAAGGTGGTCCTAGGTGAAGTATAAAGTGTTTACGAAGACATAGTAAGCTGAAAACTGCGACTCAGAAAAGATTATCTGCAAAGGGTGGCAGGTTTTGCATCAAACTCCTAAGGGTCTATCCTGTGATTCCCTTAGGGGGTCTGGGAACAGATCCAAAAGGCAGAACAGGAGACTTCACGGCAGAGCTTTCTTCTATTCTGGACACCACTCAAAATTAGCAACTTTTTGGGTCACTCAGTGCAAATGAGAATGACAAAATCAATGAATGCATGGCCTCCAGAATCCAAAGGGGACTACTACGCACTGCATCTTGGTTGTAGGAGGGGAAAGATATAACCACCTACCCTTTACCTTAGAAGTTGTATCAGCATGCCCTTTATCATCCAACCCTTAGAAATTTTACTGAAGTCAGAGGCCCTTGAACTTTGGTCAGATTTATTTCTGATCTTCTGGCATTGCAAATGTCTTACCAGTATGTCTAGAGTATATGCCACTTCTCAGTGAGTCCAGTCAGCATGTCACTGATGTCATGGACATTGATGTCTTGCAGAAGGAAAAGGCAATCAAGGTCACTGAGTGCTAAATTATGACAGACAAATCTATGAAAGTTGGTATACCCTCTGAGATAGGGCACTAAAGTTGTATTGCTGGCCTTGCAAACTCCTGTTGGGCAATTCCTTATAAACATGGAGAAAATGCATTTTTTCAGATGGATATTTGCAAACCAGCTATCAGGGGCTGTGTTCATTTACTTAACCAGTGAAAGCACATCTGTAATTGGAGTTGGCACATAGTCATTAACCAAGATCCACCTATTTTCTGTATAGGTTTCATGGGTCAGTTGAGTGGGGATGTGGTGAGAGTTACCACTCCTGCATTTTTCAAGTACTTTTCCAGGTTAGTAACATGGGTTACAAAACTCTTACATGCTAGCCAGCTGTGATCAACCACAGCTCTTGGACATCCGCACAGCCTGGAAGGAAAATAACTGATAGCTTAACAGTGTACTTGGGCTGGGGATTTAGCTCAGCGGCATAAGCGTCTGTCATGAGTTCAATCCCCGGTACAGATAAAAAGGAAAAAGCCAAAAAAAAATTTTTTTTAGTGCATTTGTAGCTCATAATAATTGCATTTTCCACAAGGAGTTGACATATGTACAAAGCATCTTAGTCCTTTTTACATCCCCTTCTCCCCCTTTCCATTCATGCTACATGTTCCCTACCCTCCCACCCCATCTACCCCTTGTCTTTTTCTCTTATTGGCTTTTATTTTCGTCCTTGTTTATATTTTGGGAATTTATTTTTTTGTACCATGGGTTGAACTCATGACTTTGTGCTTGCCAGACAGTCACTTGTGCCATTGAGCTATATCCCAAGCCCTATTTTGGGATTCTCATATAAGAGAAATGATGCAATATGTAAGCTTGTGTGTCTGGCTTTTTCAGACCAGAGTCTCAAGGTGCATTCATTTTCTACAAATGACTCAGGTTTATCCGTCATGGCAGAGTAGTACTCCACTGCATGCAAATACCATATTTTCTTTACTCATTCATCTGTCCTAAGATTAAAGGTGGTATATTATTTGTTCTTACAGTATGTCAGTATCCATTTTGTCTTGGATGGAATTACTGTTGATTTACTTGTTTGCCAGGGTTGTACAGTTGTTGCTCTTAATAGCTGTTCTCTACAGGCAGAAATAATAGCAGAAAATCACTGGGGAAGCTTTTAGGGAATAAATTACATATACAGATACTGAGGAAGAATTACAGGTAAGACATACAGAAACATACAGAACCCCAAATAGCCACTATTAAAAGAGAACCTCTCCACATCATCATAACCAGAAGTTCAACACAGGGGCAGACTCTAAAAATAGAAATTCCATTTGACCTCGCTATAAGCCTTCAACATATCTTCTTGAAAGAGCTAAAGTCGTCATATTAGTTTTACATTCAAACCCGTGTTTGTAGGAGCACAACTCATAATAGATAAATCTTGGAAGCAGTCTGTATATTCTGTAGAAACATTCTTTTTTTTTTTAATTTTATTTAAGGAGAAAAAAGAAAAAAAACAGAAAAAGGGTACAAGTTATACA